AGCATGACATCTGAAATCTAGCTGCTTCAGTTTCAGTGGATCATCAGATCTCTTCTACCTAATTACTGGTTTTCAAGAAATGTATCAAAATATAATTGTATTTGATATTTCCACACTTCTGTCAAATCAGACTGGCTTGGACAAGCTCAGAAGATATTAATGGGAGGCATAGGCAAGATACTCTAAGAGCTTCATTTCCTCAGAAAATCAAGTTAAAACTTCTCTGATAATGGATTAGATTCTTTGCCCTATTCAAAGATCACTTAAGATAAGCCTTGGACAAAAACTTCAAAACAATAAAAGATAAAGGAGATTTTAACTTGCATGGTGACTGTCAAGAAGTTTTTGTTGAAGCCTAAATTTTGGCAGGAGGATAGCAAATACCTCTTATATTTGGCTGTGCTTTTATATTTGCAGCAGGAAGAAGCTGTATTGTTGGAATTGCTATGGTGGTTGCATACCAGTTGATAATCTCTTGCACTCCAGAAGTCTTGATTATTAAATTCAGACCAATTAAAATGGTGTTAGGCACATTCTATTCTAGTAGTTCTGACATAGAAAGCTATCTGGCTCAAAAAATAAGTAAAATCGACATTTAGATATGATAAAACCTCTTGTTGAAAAGGAAAATGATGCTGAAATTGAATAAGTTAAAACTGTAATTCCAGTTTTAATTAGTTTCTTGAGGAAAAGTTCAGCACTTCCCAGCAGAAGGTACAGTTAACCACTTCAATGTCATAAAAATGCCATAAATAACTAAGAATTTGTCAAGAATGAAATACTGCAGCTTGAACAACAGTTTTGCAAGGATTGGAATTTTAACCTCCAGCCCGATGTCTCCATAGTAATATCAAGAAAGGAGAATTGAAATTCAAGTTTATTTTTACTCTACACACCACAGCTTTTGTCACAAACCTCCTAGAAAATGAATTGTGCATATTTCACCATCTTGTCTCTCTGTAGACATATGGATATATCTAAAAGGCTCAAATTTTCAAAAATAGCTCATGATTTTGAATACCCAGTTCTCTTTTATATTTTGGGAATTGTACACCCAGACAGCCTTGTTGGTCCATGTTGGATTAGGTCCAGTTTTCAGAGAACTTCAACAGTACCTCCTGATGCACATGGGCAACTCTGTAGGTCTCAAAGTCACACAGAGGTGTCACTGAGGTGCCTGTATATGTTTCAGAAGCCTACATCAGGATGTTGAGTTGTGGGATTTTGAGAAAGAATGAGGTTTACGAATCTTGTCTTTTGCGGGAATTCAAAGCTTTTAAGGAAACCAGTCCTGTTCTAGTATAGTTGATCACCTGCAGTGTACCACCCCTGGCCACAAAGAAAGAGGAAATAAATTTTATTTGATTTTTAAAAGTAGGAAAGTATTTCCCTATTTTAATTTGATTTAAATGTTGAAATGGTGCACAAAGGTAGGCCTTCAGTCACAAAGCAGTGATAGACTGCTTCTCAGATCCTTCAGATCCCCCACCTCCACCTTCAGTACCACACGGGAGATGGAAAAATAGAGGGCTGCATGTTCAGCACAGTGAAGAAAGAATTCTGAAGCAGCTGCTTCCATTCTTTCAGACTTCATCTGCATTAGCAGCAAGCCAGTGTTCTGGAATTGTGTGCAGCTGGCCAGAATCCATACATGGGCTCTGCAGAGAGAGTTTTTTAGATTCTTTACACTGATGTGAGGTTTGCCCCCAGCCCAGATGCTTTGCCTTTTCAGGTGTTATTCAAAAGATGAGTTGTTCTTCATGTAGGCTATATATATATGCTAAGCTTGCAAATCACATCAAGGGTTCTTTTCAGTTCTGGAAAGAATATAGGAAGTTGTCTTTCCTTGATAGTTGTTGTCTTAAAAGCATGTTTTCTCCTGAAGCAATTACACCATATCCCTAAAAACATAGTTGTTTCTAGTTTACAACTCAGAGCTGTACACCAGAAGACTTTATTGTTTCTGATACAAATAATAGCTGTCATTGCAGTTCTTTATTCTGTAGCTCTCCGCTGTGTTTTCCCCAGATATTTGTTGTCATAGGGCATAAGTCTCTCTCAAGTGAAATTTTTCATAGAGTCTATGGCAACTTATTGGCAAAGTGATTTCCTGAGCCCCACTTACAAAATTATTCTTATAATTGTGGCATTGTTTTGGAGTTCCAGAATTACAGTGCTACACACAGAAATTTCAGCAGGAGGTATTACAGACGCTGCAAAGTGTACACCATTTGAATCCGGGAGGTCTGCCTTGTGTTAGTATGCCTGAAACAGAAATGAGGCAGCTGGTTTGAGGTCCCTGTGGCAGAGTGCTGCTGGCTGAGAAGATCACCACCCCTGTGCAGTTTTCTGCTGCCCCTGCTGCATGAGGCTGTGGTACCCACAACACAGGATGGACCTGTTGGCATTCAGAGCCGAATGTTGTCAAACAGCCACCATCAACACATTTTTCCACAGGCTGCTTGGCTACAAACCAAGCCAGCTGAGGAGCAGATAGGCTTCTACTTCTTCTGCTGGGTGGGATATGTTCTTCCTGGCAGAGATGTAGATGCACAGCTGAGAGCAGTAAGTCTTCAGGTAGTTTGGATAAATCTGAGAAGTACTGCAAGTCAAAGGTGCAATACTGCCTCAGTAGCTTAATAAAAAGTTATCTTGCCACCCCTTGGCCGTAGCAGAATTCAGCTGCAGACTAAGAAACAGTGATGTTAATTCTTTTACAGGAAAGAAATTCATTCAGACAACTTTGGTAGCCTAAGTTGTTAGGTCTAATTTCATTCAGTGTATTTAGTCAAAATAACCTTGTTCTCATAATCCTGCCTAGACCCTTCCATGCAGCCAGGAGCAGAATTGATACTGCCTGAGATCCAGACAGGATATTTGCCTTCAAGACCTGTCTCTTTTCCTGTAGCAAATGCTCTCTGTTGTACAGCAAACCACATTTAAATTTGTAGTTTGACAGCAACAGAAATGCTAGAAGCCCCCATGTTTCCTTTACAAAAGCTGATATAACTTCTCTCCATTACATATCTTTTGAGCAATTGCCTGTGATGCACTGTCCTGTGTCTGGAGGCCTTCTTACCTAAGACAAGAACAGAATTCAACGACTGTTTTATTTTGTAATGTATATAAACTTATGTATTTTGCTTGTAAAATGATGCAGAGGGTAAGATTTAGGAGGAAAGTGTAGGACCTTACAGATTTCATATTATAATAAAACAGAATTTCAAACACCTACAGTTTAAGTCTTTGTAATCCAGCAGACAAACTCAGAAAGGACTGCTGAGAAAGGTAACTGCAAAAATTACATAGGTACGTGCCAATGGAGAAAAAAGTTGAGATATAACCTCAAGTATGTAATTAAAAGTAGTAGGATTATATTTGAAAGAGTTGAATATTAAGAGAAACACTTTGACAGAGTAAGTTGTCAGTGTTACTGCTTGCAATGAACAGGCAATGAAGCAATGTCTTAAGAGAAATTACTTGGTTGCAGATTGACATTTTTGAAACTAGACCAAACAGAAATACAAACACCAGTTGGGAGCAAGTGTATTCTGCATGGGAGGTGAACTAGGTGAGGTGAACAGGGTGAGGTGATAAAGTTAAAAATGTAAGAAATAGAAAAGACTTATAAATAAAGCACTTCTGTATCTTTGCGGATGAAAAATGTTACAGGAACATAAACCAATGGTATTTACTTTTTTAACAGATGGACCAAAGAAGCCATCAAAAGATGACACACAGAAATCTATAAAATGTGGGGGCTTTTTTCTTCATCCTCTTTTTTTTCCTTTTTTTTTTTTTTTCTCTTTAAATTGAAGCAAACTGAACTAGGCTAATTGATGCTATTCAGAGACAGTACAGGGGATTGACACCTCACAGTACCAAGCTATAGAAGGCAGCATGAACTTCATGAAAGTAGAGAGGAGAGGCTCAGGCAACTCTGGTCCCCACTGGGAAACAACTGAGTCATAAAAAACCCCAAAAGTACAAAAGGATATGATATATTTTAAGTAGGATTGACCTTAATATATGAAGTTGTTGACCCATACTTTGCAGGTGACTTAGTGCATAGGTGAAGCTGTAGGATATTGCTCAGTTTTTCTCAGTTTTCAGCTTTTTGCTTCATATTAAGGATTCAGAATGTAGATACACACATGGGCCAGACCAGGGTCTGTTTTACCTCATATTTGAAAAACATTCTGTCTTCTGTCTTATATGCTACAGGTATCAAATGTGAACCAAGGGGGTGTGAGAATTCTGTGTCTATCAGAATGCTGGTGTTGGACATGCAGTACTCAATAAAAAACTAAGTGCTGGGAGCCATGGTGTGTTGGAAGCACATAACTCCTTCATCTCCCAAGAGGAAACTGCATAAAGACACCATACATGTCACACATCTCCCTATAGTGCTTCCTGGACATGCTGAGAGACTTTCAGATAGCATCAGGGACTTTCAGATATTGTGAGCCTTCTCAGACCTAGCTCATCAATATAGACAGGGTACCTTACCTGTTAATTAAGAATCAGTTGTGAATCCTGCCCTTCTTGGCAATACTGTGTCTGGAATCCTTTTTTGTATGAGCTCTTCTTTGCAGGGGAACTGTGTACTTATTGCAACCTTCCTCTCACCAAGCTGTGGCAGTTTGGCAGAATAGGACATTAATGGAAAAAAGGTAGCACTTTACTGCTTTGTGTCAATGTTTGCAGTAACCTACTTCAGCCAACACCAGTAATTTACCATTATTCTGCACTAATTTAAGTATCTGCAGAGAAACATCAAGGAAAAATCCATTAAGGAAATTTTGCAGGACATCAAATACGTTAAAGATCCAGGAACAGAAGGAGGCCTAAATTTCACTTACGATACACCAGATGTCTTTGGACTTGTTATCTACTAGATAGTTACAATAATAGCACTAACAATAATATCACTGCACTAGACATAGAGAGAAATATTTTATTTTAACCATGCCTCTTAACAATATTCCATGTTCTCCTAGGTTTGCACCATTCCATCCCAGCCTCCTCAGCCTGCTGTTGTTCCAAAGCCAGTTCAGTCTGTCATCCATGTTCCATTGCAACCCAGCTGTCCCGGCCGAGGCAAGATGGCAAAGCTCATCAATCCAGAAGAGATGACATCCAGGGATTATTACTTTGATTCCTATGCTCACTTTGGAATTCATGAGGTAACCTTTATTTTTGTTTCAGCAATTGTTAAATAACTAACAATATAATAATAATATTATTAATATTAATATTAATAATATCTCATTATTTCTTTTTTTACTTACTTCTCTGTATCCCACTTGCTCATGATTATATTCCTCTGCCTTTCCTCAGACAATTGTGTAGTCTGGTTAAGTGCCAAAGATATCCCCCACTTCCCTAGAGACTTGCACCCAAAACATCTGTCCCACTTAGATTTTTATTGTAGCTGTCCGTGCAGAGGTGAATTTCACAAGTACATCAATGCAGTGCATTTATGAGCACTGCAAACCAGCCCAGCCACAACCATGGGCACTCCCTTACTGCTAAGCTGGGGATTTTGTTCTCTTGAGTGTTTGAGCACAGATATCAGCAGAACAGCTGCTCAGCTGACATGAGGAGCCAAACAGTTTCCTGGCTCCTGGCATGTTACTTGAATGCACAGGTTGCATTGATGGGAGCATTAAGCCAAATCACCTCCATTAAATACACTCCTGGAAAGAATTTGAAATACTTGATGGACAGTTTACTATCAAAATGTTGAGACTGTAGACGAGTTCTAAAGAAGTCACTGATACCTTGCCCTGCTGATATTTTTCTGACACAAGAGGATGAGATCTTTAGGAGCACGATGCAAAAAAGCAAATGTGAAATGACTCAGTGCACTCCTCACAAACAGCATAACAAACAATATCTATTTCCATTACTCTAGTAGTTGGTTGTGGGGTGCAAACATAAAAGATTTCTATCTGCCAATAACATCTTGCCATTGTAGAATTCAGAAATTCAGTCCAAGAATGGAAGACGATAGAGAAACAGTTGAATGGGAAGGAGACCTAGGAGAAATTTTGAAGACACATCAGGGACCTTAAATCAAATGGAACTCCTGATGGAAGGATACAGCCATGTAGGTCTCAGGGAGTGCAGAGAGCTTTTGCTGAGGCTGGGAAGTTTCCTCCTTGCCTGCAGGAGGTCTGCACTGTAAAGTATCTGTGTCCACAAGTAAAGGAGCTGCTAGAGGAGGATGGCAGACTTTGAAGCATCAGGGGCATGAGGAAGAGACTGAGTGGATCTTCTCTGAGAGCATGAAGGTACAAAGCCTAAAACCCCAACTGTAGTGAAAGGACAGGGAGTGAGAGTCTGTACTTACCAGGTGTGGAAGTGGGGACTCCTCTGATGGTGAAGGCTGGAAACTTGTGCCTTCTGGGAACAGGAGGGAGGCTCTTGATCCACCTGCAGATCTCTGGCTACAGAATAGGGTCAGTGTCTTCATTGTAGCTGAGGGACAGAAGTTCTGTCCAAGAAACCTCCAGAACCAGATTCTGAGCCAGGCAGAGGCACTGGGAGCAAGTGACAAGTGATAGCTGCCAAAGGCCCTCCCCTGCAGGGCACAGAGGCCCCCGTCTGCTGACAAGACCTTCTGCCAAGGCATTTGGATCTGGGACATTGTGGAGAGGCTGCTGGCATTTGTCCATCCCTTAGACCAGCCCTCAGAGCCTGCTGCTGTTCTACATGAGCACCAGTGAGACCTGGAGCATAGCAAGTGTCACTGGGCAGCTCTCAGGATGATCACCAACAGCAAGGTGTGCCAGGCAGATTTTTGCCTCAATTTCGACAGCGCAAACAAGGACTTGAGGAGAAGTGTTGCCACAGGTCCACAATTGTTTGTGCAGCTTGTCAATGACAAGTTCTTGGGTTTTATACCTATGGGACCCTCTTTGAGGATTGGGGTCTGTTAGGAAGAGACGGAATCCATCTGAAAAAACAGGCTAAAAGGCATCAGTTTTGACAGCTGGGGAGATACCACTCGTGACTGGCCTCCAGATGGACTTTGTGATGCTCATTGCAACATTTTTGGAACAGCAGTTCAGTCAGTTCTCAGCCCACTGTGCTGACCATTTATGCAGTCCATAGTTCATGCATTTTTCAATGAGGATGTTATGGGAAAAAATCTTGAAAATTTTGCAAAAAATCAAGATAAAAGCCATTCTCTTCCTCATTCCTCTTCCTTCATCCACAAAGCCTATTACTCCACCATAGAAAGATACCAAGTGCTCAGTCATCTCCAAATCCATGCTGAACATTCCCTGTCACCTTCTTCTTAACATGTGTGGAAATAGTTTCCATGAGTTTGTGCTCACAGTGGTGATGGACTGATACCAAACCATGCTTTATGATAAAAGTAGCCTTTTGTTCATCTACAGTTACTGAGCACACATAGTGTCCTGCCAAGACAGGTAAGTAAGCAGCTGATATGTGTAACAATCCAGTTCATGATTGCCTCAGACTGCTGGGCAGTGAATGGATCCTTTTCATCCTGAAATTGAAAAACTCATTTGTCTTCTTGTTCAAACTATGAAATTATGCAACAGCATAAGCAAACCTTCAGCCTTCTAGACATAACAGAAGCATTTTCAGAAAACTAAAGTCTGTGTTGAATGGTCTACACTTCTCTTAAAAATGGCACCTCGGTCTTGAGCTGGGTCCTCTTTCTTGGTGTAGTTTGACTGATGGAGGTACAAGAGAAAGCAAGGTATCTATGGAATTAAATGCATGTACTGCTGCTATCAGTGCATCAAAAATCAGCACCTAACAATGACATCTCAAACTAGTGAGATGGTATTCTAGGTGAAATATTAATATCTTCTGAAAATTGATCAGATAAATGAGTGGAAAGAGCAGTGAGGGAGGACCTTACGATACAGAATTTCTAAGCTCTGCTATGGGCTTCTGCCTCACATGGGCAAGGCTGTCAAGCCTTCTGTTGTATAATGTCTTCTGGAGCCATTCCTTTTCTGTTCAAAGAGGAACCTCAAAAGGTCCCTCCACTGAGGCTCTGGGTTGTGCATGATTTAGGAGGAAAGGAATGTTTGGATTTCTGTATGGCTTCTGTCTATTCCCAAAGCAGTGCTGTGGTTAGATTACACTCTGCTTGTTGATTGTAACGGTGAAGTAATAGCAGAATAAAATCATACAAGGGACATCATGCTGCTTCTTAATAATTCAGCTGTAAGTAGCTGGCATTTTACAGTTGCTTTGATGTGTGCACCCCAAAGTACTTGAGAAGCCCTTCATGTTGTGTGTTAATAATGCTTAAATGACAGCAAAGGAATGCATTCAGCAGCAGTGTGGAAGGCATATAAGCATTTCAAATAGTGACACAATCCTTTTATTTTCATCACAGGAAATGTTAAAAGATGAAGTACGCACATTAACCTATAGAAACTCAATGTATCACAATAAACATGTTTTTAAAGATAAGATTGTCCTCGATGTTGGAAGTGGCACGGGAATCCTCTCCATGTTTGCTGCAAAGGCAGGAGCCAAGAAGGTATATGGGGTAAGAACACTTTCTCTCACATTTTGAATTTGTTTGTGCATTTTGCCTGACAATTTGGCTTCGTGATTTACCTTTTCTTACTTGTCTTGGTTTGAAATTCTGCTCTCCAAGCTCATCTATGGCTTGGTTTATAATGACTTCAGTGCAGTTCTGTTATATTCTATGACTTGCACTACTGCACCTTTTCCAAAGGGGGATGTAAATATCTTTTCCTATGTGGAACCTTTGGTGTTCTGGTACATATTCACATTTCTTCTTGGCTGAAAAAAAAATGTTAAAGAGACTCACTCCTACTCAGAGGGGTTAAGGGAACTATCTTGCTTTTTAAATTTTCAGGGTCTGCAACTTTGTAGTCTTGGAAACACATTTCCTTAATACACTTTTCCCTGCAAATTACAACTCAGCAAATTGTGCAAGAAAGCGTGTGAATGTTTTCTGTGCCAACAATAACACTTTTCAGAGGCAGAAGGAAATTATTACCTTAAATACATTGAACTTTAGGAGCATGAATGTGCTGTTCTCTGCAGAGAAGTCATTACGGAGAGCATAGATTTGCTTACTAAGTATATTCAAACTTGTTTGTACTAACTCTAAAATGACAGATGCAGTTTCTTTTTGCTTTGGACTTCTGTTTGCCCTGAAGACACAATGCAACACAGAAAAGGGGAAATAGATCCTATTTCTCAGTGTACTTCAGCAAAATTGTTTACTAAAACTTAATTGGGTACATCTGTGCCTTTGTGGACACTGATGTCACTGAGCACCCAAACTGTGTGTCTTTATTACTGGTAATGATATATGAAATGCTATTTCAATTCTCAGGCTTACATTTTCAAAATCCAGTGTAACTTCTGAGTATCTCATTTGAATATCAGACTGGAGCATGAAACTATACATAGCTGAAATCAAAAGGTGCTGGAAAAAGTTTTGGAGTTTAAGCCCGAGATAGGCAGCTGGAAAGTATATTCTTGTAAACAAAGTATTACTTATTAATATGATTTATTACCTCAAAGCTTTAGGGAGGATAAACCAGCAGCTTTCTGTGATGCAGAAATGCAGGTCTCAGGGAAAGATGTTGCAGTGCTCTAAAAGTATAAGCATATACAAAATGATGGTGATGTGCTCCCACCTTCCCATCTCTCAGATCCCTGGCCATATGGTCTTCCTCCCTCCCTTGTGCTGGCACTGGTGCTTATCTGATTCTACAGTGAGCCAGCTCACTGGCAGAAAATTCACCAAGTAAAAGAAAAGTAAACACTTTTCCATGTTTGTTGTTGTTGTGAGGGTTTTTTTATGTTTGGGTTTTGGGTTTTTTTTTCCCTTTGGACTTCTTTAGAGTTCAGGCTTTACCTCAGGACTTTATAAAGCTGAGTGGCACACCAGTGCCAGCTCACCGATGGACTGTTCATCACTGAAGCTGGTGGGTGTGCTATCCATGGAACTTAGCTCTCAGAGGAACTCCCTTAGGTGTGAAACTCTTCTGCTACAGCCAAAGAATTTCAACTTTCTTGTCAGATGAGCTGTCTCACCGTGAACCCTGTACACAGCAAGCTGCAGAGTGGATTTGTGTTGGACAAGCAGACATTTCAGACCTAGCAGCAGCAATCTTATAGTCAAATTGAGACTTCATGGTCATATTTGCAATTGGAACCTGTCAGTGTTCCATTTAAAAAGCAAACATTTGCCATGAGTTATTACATAGAGCTGCGATGTTCCAGTTCCTTCTCTACAGTTAAATGTGATTTTTCAAATAGCATGATGTGGGAACTGTTGACAAATGCAGAGTGTTGGTTTTTTGACTACAGAAATCACTCTCCTCTTACTCACACTTTCTCTCTTTGGGTTCAAATTCATCCACTACTCTGTCTTGTTCTTCTTATCCCTTCTTACTCACTGTTGGTACTTATTCCTTGCCCCTACCAAAGCTAACAGCTAGAATTATCTCTGGGTCTTCAAGAGATGTAAATCATAGAATCATTAACTTAAGGCTATATCAAGTTGGCCAAGGGCATGTCCAGTCCAATTTGCAAAATCTCCAAGTATAGAGACTCTAAATACTCTCTCAGCACCTATTCCAGACCTACAATCAGCAGGAATTTCCCTTGCCACAGCTCATGATTACTGACTTTTGTCTTGTCCCTGTGCATTTCAGAAAAGAGTTTGACTTTAATTTCTTTGCAAGTCCTTTTGGGATACTTTTAGATTGCTATTGGACTGGGGGGGATCTCTTCTACACCTGAACAGAACCAGCCCCCTCATTTTCTCTTCTTTCTTCACCTGCTCTGAGCCCTAACCCTTGGAGGAGGGTACCAATGTGCCGTGCACTGATGTTCATCTGACGGGGGAGCTGTTGTAAGAAATGCAGAGATAGAATTGGCACATAGCTCTTGGTGCTTGGGAGGGGTCAGTGAGGGACACAAAAATACATAAAATATCCCTTGAAGCCTTGTTTCATCTGCTGTATTTAGTAATACAAAATTCAGGACAGTCACTGCAGTGGAACTATCTGAATTCCGTGCTATTTTCAGACAAACAAGACAGTGCAGGAAAGAAGGAGTTAATCAGACACAGAAGATGAAGGCTGATGTTAGATGTCAGCTGCTTTGTATAAAAAGGTGGTGATGAGGACGCAGCCCAGGGGAAATCTGGGGATCTTGTGACTGTTTCAGGAAGAGACCACAGTAAATGAGGAGACATTTGCAGCAGTAGATTGAAGACTGAGAAGTAAAATGAAAGCGGAGGTGAATACACACGCACAGAACCCGACACAGCTGAAGCAATTCAAGGGTCCATGCTGGGACCTCTGCTGTTTAAGATCTTCATTAAAGACAAGAGATAGTGAGTTTGAGTTCACCCTCAGCAAGTTTGCAGAGGACACAAAAGTGCTTTGTGCAGCTGATGTACTTGAGGGAAAATAGGCCACACAGAGCAGTCTTGTCAGGCTTGAGGAGTGGGCCTGTGTGAACCTCGTGATTTTCAACATGGCCAGGAACAGGATCCTTCACTTGAATCAGGGCAATCCTTTGAAGAGCTCTTCAAGCCCAAACCATCCTATGATTGTGTGATTATAAACTCAGGTACAGACTTACTTTATTGGAACGTGTGCTTTTCATAAAATCCAAATGCTTTGCAAAATAGGACAGATTTGAGGAGATACTGACTTGAAAGAAAACTCAGAAAAAAAAATCTGACAACACCAATTTTTCCTCTATTTCTTCACCTGCAGAATTCAGTTTTCTTTTTTCTGAAATGGGTTGCTTTTTAAAATAAATTCAACCACAGTATAGAGTCCAAGTCAAAATACAGATGAACAGCTTTAGCCACCCTAAAGCAATTTTTTACTGAAATACGTATTCCTTCATGAAACGTTTAAATGTTGGGTGGTTTTATTCTTTTGCTTTTTTGTGTCTGAAGCTGATTTTTAGAAACTTGTCATTCATGAGAGAGAACTTTTTATTTCTTTGCACCTTGTTCTTTAGAAAGTTTGGAAAGCAACCTCCAAACACCTACCTACGCCTGCTTTATTTAAAAACCATCCAAAATGGGCAATGGAATTGAAAATACCAGACAGATGTGAATAAAGACAGGGAAAATGAGTATAAAGGCAGTAACTATAGACAGGGCATACAGTCCACAGGGTTTAGAGTAAGGGAAGAACCTGGATGGAGCAAGAGGATGTCCCTCACCCCAAAGGATTTCTTCCTTGAACTCTCTGGACTGGCACTCAGGTGTTCCTTTCCACAAGCCAATTTTGGTTTATGCTCAGGCCATTGAGTCAGACATTTTAGGAATGGTTTACACCCACAGGCAAGCTAAGCAGAATCAATGTGCTCCCATGGGCACTGGGATTGGTATTATGGCTGCTGTTATGTCTGTTTCATGCACAATATAAAAAGAATCAAGGATTTGTGTGTCCTTGTGTCCGCTGTCCTGCCATCTGTGAGTGCTGTCTCAGAGGTCAAGCAATTTAGCTTTTAGAGATTAAATGGGATTCACTGGCTATATAAACCACTTCATTAGAGATAATATAGTTCTATTTGACATTCCCACTGGGGAATTAGGGAGACAAGGATTATGGAAAGTAGTATCGTCCGTTTAATGCCAAATTTGGGAGAGGTAAATTAGGAACTGATTCAGTGACTAGGAGCAACTTTGGCCCTCATGATTTTCAAGGGGCACAAAACCCAGAGGGATTCATGGAATGTAGTATTTTTCTGCAAGATATTAGAGGTCATTGCAAACGCTTTTATGCTAGTACACAGATTTTACCAAGTTTAAGGGCAAATTTAAAACTAGGAGGCACTCTGTAATTATTTTCCTAGAAAAAGCACAGAGCTGGTCAGAGAAAAAGCCATGCAGATGTGGATGTTCTTTTAAATAGAAAATTTCAGTCCTTTCTTATGTGTTAAATGCCTGCATTCTTTAGGAATAGCAGATTTGCTAAAGAATATAGATTTTTCACATAGAAAACAGTTACTTCTTGGCATAGACCAGTATTGGCACATTTGAATTTTAATATTATTCACAAAGTTTGAATGTATTTTTTTAAAAATATATATGGAAATTTAGCATGGTCCTAATTGATTCCATTCAGCAGATTTTTGTGGGGGAGGAGGCAATATTCTAAAGTATCAGGAATAAATGAAATATAATTAATAATGTACATTTTGTAAGTAGAGCCTCTTTTTTCACATTTCAGCAATTTTAAAAGCAATCTTTTCTACAGGAGCTGGTTTAACTCAGACACAGACTGCAATTTAAATATTCAAATATCATTAATTATGATCCTCCCCACAGGTTTGATTTACTCTTTATCAATGGTTACATGCTTTGTAGAGTCTTTGCTGCCTTCAGTAGATAGTTTTCATTCACACAGCTGAGCTCTCTAACAGATAAATTCCTCTTTATCTTGCTTTTCTTTTTTTCTTTTTTTTCCTAGATTGAATGCTCAAGTATATCTGACTACTCAGAAAAAATTATCAAGGCCAACCACTTGGACAACAGTAAGACATACATAATTTTCTTTTTCAGGAAAAAGAGAAGATAACAGTTTTGCTTGTTCTGATTAATTTATGTTGTGTGTTTTCCATTTAAATGGTAGTTTTGCAGAATTTACTTATGAAATACAAAACTAAACACCTCTTTCTAGGCACTACAACAATTCCTCGCAGGAATTACTGTCAATTCTGTATTTATCAGAGACAAAAACGGAACTAGAACTGATCAATGGGAAGTTTAGTTTAGCAAAGCAGAAGGAAGACCCTATATTAGAACTGAACTTATCAAATTAATTGTGCCATTAGAATTCCACCTTCTGTCTTAGACAGAATAGAAATACAAACACACGTACTAACATTCAAATTGAAATGAGGTTTAAAGCAAAAATTTTTCACCAAGTTTTCTGACTCCCCACTTCAAGAAAATACTTTTTTCAAAACCTTATCAAAACACAAATAAAACTGGTTGAATCCTAAAATAAAAATATAACATAAAACTTCTTTTTTGCTGGAATAGAAAGCTGATGAAATTTCCAAGTATGTGGAAACTCTAAATTAAAAAAAAAAAAAAAAAAAAAAAAAAAACCCAACAAAAACTAGGAGTATCCCCAAGCTACTGAAAACCCTTAGCACAAAATAATCCCCAGCAAGTTCTATTTCTTGTCTTCCGTCCTCCTCCAAATCACAGCACTCAAGATATCTTAGTAACAACCTAAAAAGTCAGTCTTTTTTTAACTGAGGCCGTGAGACAGCTCCTGTTTAAAAGTGTTTTTTTGTGAAGAGCTTGCCTTTGCTGCAGAGCAGGTCACGGCTGGGCTGTACCAAGCGCCCGCGCTTTCAGCAGTGGCCGCGCTGATGCTCTGCCCGCACAGGCGCAGGAGTGGCTTTCTGTGCTGCTTCAGATCTGCTCTGATTTTTATTGCTGTCACTGGCAGTTTGTGACTAACCCCGAGCTCTCTGCAAGGAATATTTATTGTACATCACGGGCATTCAAGTGTTGTGGTGTGAAACAGCGCTGACGTGGGATACCAGGGGCCAGCCAGCGTGTGCAACACTTGGCTCAGGAAAAGAAGGAAGCAAAGCAGCAAAAGGAAGCAAAGAAAATACTCTTTCCATAGTAGGGATAAGGCACTAAAGCAGTGAGGTGTGACCTCTGTGGTTGTCCTTAACCTTGGATGCAGAGGCTGTGTGTTCCCAGCATGGCTTTCATTGGCTAGAGACACAAATAGCGCACCGCAAATCAATTTGCGTTTGGATTTCCAGCAGCAGGAGTTGTGTGTGAAGGGACCATTGTCAGAATAAATTAGAAGGTTCCAGTATTCTCCAGAGGGTCAGAATGTTTATGTCTCTGCTTTTTCTTCCTGTTTCTACAAGGAGAAAGTACTGGGAAACTGTGGGCAGGAGCAGAGCCCCCTCCCTTTGGGAGGAGACTTGGCAGCCGAGGCTCAGCAGTCTGTCTGACTGCAGTTTGGTCTGCAAACTGCACACCTGAACCAACATTTACTCCTTCACACTCCACACTGATCCACATTCAGTTCTATTTTAATGCAGCCAGGTACTGAGCCAAAGGATCTTGTTGCTCATGGAAATTTTCCTTTCCCCCCCACCCCCCACCCCTAAATGTTTTGAGCAATGCAGAGTCAGCGAAAGAGGCTGAACAAGGGAAAACCCACTGCTTCCAGAACAGTGACATGCAATACCTCTGGGGACAGCATGAACTGTCCCCACATGATGCCTTAGGAAGTGAAGGGAGGTGGGAGGAACCAGTGCTGCTGCTGCTGCTTACACTGTGACTGTTCTGGCTGTAAACAGGGGGCTTCACAGTCAGGTGCGTCACTCTGGCTGCTGTCAGCAGTGCTGAAATTCACTCCAAAAGAATTGGGACAGTGGAAGTTCTTGAGAGAAAAGAGAACTGAGAGAACTCATGGCTGGAGCTTGTAGACATGAAGAGTCTTCAGTATACAGTATAACAGGAGATGAACTGTTGAATTACTAACTGTGAAAGAAATTAGTTTAAATAATGGCAAAGAGAACTCTGCTATTTTCCAGTCAGGTTGCTCTTATCAGCTGATACTTTGTGGTACCAGTCTGAGTCAGAGTGTTCCCAATTTCTTAGGGGGCCAGTCTGGACTAAAAATTTGCTATGCAAATAAAGTGGCCACATCTGGTTAGAGTAATACTAGTACTGCATGTATTTGGGAAAGACAAAACATCCTTTTCCCTGGGCTGAGTTCTAAAAATCACTCAACCCACACTTCCACACTCAGCCAGCTAATCTAGTTCTAGCTAAATTAAATTAAATTACCTTCCTTTTTCTGAAACTGAATGTTGACCATCAATAAAAACTCATTATCATTATCATTAAAAATTACCATTAATTAAGAGTAGTGGAGTAATCTTATCAATTAGTAATGGAAAGTAGAATATTCACCTTATTCCTAAATTTCTAGTGCATTTGTTACCTTTTCAAGGAAGAATCCAGAACCATGGCACTCTATCCACTGCAACAAACAATATAAACATGAGAGAAACACATGCTGAAAATAATTTAGCACAAGCTGAAAATGCATTTGTAAATAGGATTTTTTTTTCAAAGCAGGAATGATTGGTGACTTGTGTAGTGGTCCTAAAACAAAATTATCTGTTACAATTGAACTAAATATGGCCCAACATTCAAATATTAGTGTGTAAACCTGCAGGGATTTTTAAATGCTTCTAAGTGGATTCTTTGCTAGATCTTTCAATGATTTGGAAATCTGTCAAATTCCAAAGGGCATTTTAGAATGAGATCATGCAGGTAACCAGGTAAGACCTGTTTTTCTGTTATTTTTAGACATGGTGGGGTTTTTTGTTTGGCTTTTGGGTTGGTATTTTTTCCTTTTATACTGTTACTAAAAATGCTATTTATTATATGTACTCTGCATAGTTTTTAAAAAGCGTGAAGTGCGTTGAGTCACGTGGAGTCATGCCTTATGGACAGGCACTCAAGAAGAGAATCAGATTGAAAAGGTCAGCCTGACATTCACCAGTAAGGATCTTAGTCGGGTCTTTTATTATGTGAAACGTATTTCTTTGGATTCTCTTTTCAGTAATCACAATATTTAAAGGTAAAGTGGAAGAAGTTGAATTACCTGTGGATCAAGTAGACATCATCATCAGCGAGTGGATGGGTTACTGTCTGTTCTATGAGTCAATGTTAAACACAGTCATCTTCGCACGAGACAAGTGGCTGGTAGGTGCTCTGCATGTCGTGCTCCTTGCTGGAGCAGTCTCCATTTATTTTCTGACTACAAGCTTTCCCTTCCCTACTGTCGCCATAACGAGACACAGTCGCATCTCCAAGTGCCGTTTCTGAGGCTTTAACGAGGAGATAACAAAGGGAACCTCAGTGAAAGAGCTTTGCTTTTGATTAAGTGCTGGCCGGCCAAGTTTGCCTAGACACTGTCTAATGACATTGCCGCAGGCTGCGAGGTTAAAGCTGGTGTGCAAATCTGAAGGAAAACAATAAAGGCATGCAAGGGGTGCTTGTCTGGTTTTTGTATGTGCAGTTCAAAATGTGATGTCTTTGTCAGGTGAATAGATTACGAGATCCATTTCCCCACAATTCATCAACAGAAACCTGGAGGGCTAATGTTTCCAGACCGAGCTGCTTTGTACGTGGTAGCAATTGAAGACAGACAGTACAAGGACTTCAAAATTCACTGTGAGTAAGCACCTGCCAGTAACACTTTTCTGTGGTTATTTCCCTAAAATCTTTCATTTCCAGTAGCCTACTGTGACCCCTTTGCAGGCCAGAATTCCAGTATGGATGTGAGCTCTGAGAAAATGTTGGTCTGCTGATAAATTCAGGAAATTTGCAATAATTTAAAGTGCACAAAGGAGAGATGCATGTATAAATTGATGAAGACTTTGTCTAGAGTTATATTAATACCTCTAGCTATATTTAAAATGTGGATTAAAGGAGATTTAGTTTTGTTGTTGTTTTGATAAATATATAATCCATCATAACAGCCTCAAAACCCAGTAATATTCTTTTGCCATTCAGGTCTTTTATTTTTGTTTTTAACATAACAAAAACATAAAAGCAGTAAGATGCAAATTAATTGTACATGTGAAGAAATAAACCTAGAAAAAAATTATATCTTCATGATGGCCTGTCAAAAAGAAAAAACCCACAACACGTATAGCTTTTTAAAAACATTTTATGTGAGAATTTTTCAATTAAAAATAAGGATCAGAAATTTAAATTTTACTTATATGTTAAAAAAGAGTTCTAATTTGGTTTTTTTTTTCATACTTCATAGATGCATAAAATTGACATTTCCTTTGCTTTTAAAATGTTGGGAGAGTTTCTTTGAAGTATCATTAAATAACTGGTGCTGTTAGTGACATCTACAAGTGATCTAGTCCAGGCTCCTGCTGTGATCAAATGAACAAGTTTTACATTATTTTATTCTTCTTTTCCTTTCAGCATTTTTAAATTTTATTTATTTTTCAGAGCTGGGCAGTTTCACTTAAAGGTATTTTCCATTATGAAAAAAAAAAAAAGAACCACAAAATCCCTAAGCAAATTTATTAACCAAAGACACATGTGAAAATTTGGGTTAAATTAGTGGGTTCAGACAACCTTTAAATAAAAATGCCTAACTCCTCATTCCTTGACTCTCACCTCCTCCCAAAAAAGAAGTCTTGGTGTTTCTGTAATGAAATTCAGTGCTAATACACAGAACTGCCAGTTGGTCAAAACTGCTGTTCTGGGTCAAAAGCGAGCCCAGTGCAGTGGGGTGGTGACAAGAAGTCTCTGTAGGTGCCAGGAAGGATTATATCTCCCCTTCAAGCACAGCCTAGATTTTCTCCTCAGCTGTGTGATGACCTTGACAGTTAAACTCCTTACAAAATGTACAGATTCAAATGGATGTATGAGGCATCCATTCTGTAAAGAAATCAGAGCCATTTTGGGCTAAAATCTTTCATTTTGCTTTTGAACTCCTTCATTTCTAGACCTTAAGTCTTTTTCTTTTCTCACAGACAATACATCTGTTTTCAAATTGTTTCATTTTGAGCCATTTGAAAAAATGTACAAAGTAATTTTTTCCTCTTCTAAAATGTTGTTTTCCTCTAAGACACTTTATTTTCTGATATCACCTCTGATTTCTCTTCCCCCCCCTTACCTTTACCTCTGTCCTCACTTATTTCCATCTCACAATCTGCACCACCATCTTGTCTCTCCTTTCCATTTATAAATCCTTGATAGTGTTTCCTTACATTTCAATTTTTCATCTTTTTCTCCCTTAAGGAGGATAGAGCCTTGCCTTCATACGAGATGTGGGCCTCAGCATTTAAAGGGCTTTCAAGAACCGTTATATTGATAAAGAAATAATGCAATATGAGGTTTCTAAAAAAATCCAACTTCTGATTTTTCTAACTGAAGATTAATGCCACAGAGTACTACTACCATCAATTACTCTGATTTACTGCAAAATATAAAACATATAATTTTATTTTTTACGTCCTGTGACAGCTCTCTGCCTAAGACAGATTGGCCCATATATTTCAAAGGTATCCCATGTGGGCTGAGGTGCAGTAAATTATGGAGGTCCCAATAATAAATAAAAAAATTAATAAGTTGTTTCTTCAGGGCTTCCTAGTTAATCTTTTCTGAGTAATCACATAAAAATATATTACTTTTTAAAATATAATCTGAAGTTCTCACATGCTCATGATGCCTGAAACAAAAGTTTCAGCTCCCCTGAAATGTTGAGAAACTCACAAACCAATAAAGAGTTAGTAAAGAGATATCACAGAATCACTCATGTCCGTGTTTTTCCAATTTAGGAATATGCAGATTTTTATATCACGTGACATTTTCCATCATATTCCTCTGGAAACCCCAGTAGCTCAAATGCTATGCTCTGAAAAAATGAGACATTTCAAACGTGCTCACAAATGTGTTTATCTGTTTGCTTTGGTTTTTGTTCAAGACATTTATGTAAACACTCATGGTATTTAGTTTAGATTTTGAGATGAAGCACTGAATGGACCTTGATTTACATGCTCCGAAAGACTAAGATTTCACTTTTGAAGTGAACCCTGAAACAACAGTTTCAGCTCCCCTGAAATGTTGAGAAACTCACAAACCAATAAAGAGTTAGTAAAGAGATATCACAGAATCACTCATGTCCGTGTTTTTCCAGTTTAGGAATATGCAGATTTTTATATCACGTGACATTTTCCATCATATTCCTCTGGAAACCCCAGTAGCTCAAATGCTATGCTCTGAAAAAATGAGACATTTCAAACGTGCTCACAAATGTGTTTATCTGTTTGCTTTGGTTTTTGTTCAAGACATTTATGTAAACACTCATGGTATTTAGTTTAGATTTTGAGATGAAGCACTGAATGGACCTTGATTTACATGCTCTGAAAGACTAAGATTTCACTTGTTTGAAGGTTCTTGTTTTCACTTTGCTAAGCAAACTTAAAAGCAAAGCCATTGTACTTCTCCATTTTTCAATGTTTTCATTTTGTGCAAAAAATCCTCAACATGATAAGAAGCATCTTTTGGAACAATCAGAAGAACAATTCAAATACAGAGGATTGGCATGACTTCTAAATCTTTTAAAAGTGAACCTTTTGCTTTTCTGTCATGATGTATGCACAGATTAAAACTTGGAGTCCCAGCTATTGAAACACACCTGCAATCCTACTCATGCCAGTAATTCACTTGCTGAAACTAAAACTACTTAAATAATCAAAAGAGCATGTAAACTGCCAATTGAGTGGCAATCTATGAGGAAAAAAAACCAAACAACCCAACAACAAAAAAGCCCCAAAACTCAGCCTGACATCAGATGATTTTGGGCAACAATCACAAGCGTCTAAAGCCACAAAAATCATTGACAAATCTCATATAAACCAGTTTTGGAGACACCAAAAAATAAGGGTCATTTGTTCAAAGATGTACATTGAGCACTTATTCTGCCACAATTGCATTATCTGTAAAATAGCAATGACATAGACAGCTGGGGCAGGGAGCAAAAAGCTGAAGGGGACATCTGCAAATTTTAAAGGACATCTGAAAGGGGATGATAGAAATTCTTTCAAAAGAAAAATGCTTTGAGAAGCAGAAAATATTTTCTATTACTGCTGCTAACCTTGACAAATCCATTTGCACCGACAGGGTGGGAGAATGTGTACGGCTTTGACATGACCTGTATTAGGGATGTGGCCATGAAGGAGCCCTTGGTGGACATAGTAGATCCAAAGCAAGTGGTGACCAACGCCTGCTTAATAAAGGTTTGGTAATTCTGAATATACCTCATTGTGACTGTTTACACCTAACTGCAGGGTTCTTTTGAGACCTGCTGCTTGTGTTTTGCTGCTGTCTTTGCATGCTTTGAAGCAGCTGCGGAAGCCATCATTGCAGAATGCTGCCACACTATGAAGGAAAATTGTGCAGTTTTAGACTTGCCAGTTCTTGCATGTTTCACATGCTCAATACTGTCATATGACCTGAGCATGAACATTGATACCTTGATTTCTTATGGAATTCCCAAAAGCAAGATGCTCCTTGTGTCTCTACTCATCTGGTTACATCTGCAGGCTGTAACTCAAGATTCTTACAAATTTTACATGTGCAAATACTGGATGAAGACAGACATGGTATATTTAGATATCAATTTGAATTGCCCTGCCTTTTAGTAAATAGAGGTTGGAAATTACTGATTGAGTGCTGCTGAGGAGAAGGGGTAAATTATTCTGTTTGCAGTAAAAAAGTCTGAAACATCAGTTCTGAATTGATGATGAAATAATTAACTGCAGAACATGTGATCAGAATTTGAACTCAATTTATTTCTCTAACTTCCTAATTCTCAGCCTTATAAAGAATTCTCTCTCAGCCCCAACATCTGCACCCAGAGTTTAACTGGTACCCTGCTCTGCGTGAAACAGAAAGGTCACTAAACCCTGTTCACAAGGTCATGTTAACAATGAAGGAACTGCCTGCAGGAACATTTGAAAGCTCTAAAATTCCCTTCACGTGAAGGAATCCTCATGTGGGACAACTGTCCTGAACAAGGCTCTCTGCATCAATAGTAGTGGTAGTACCAGGTCCATGAATCCAAGAGCTCATTTATCCCAAAGAATCAGTTCTGTCTTTCCCCTTTCACTTTTTGCCAGTGAAAAACACAGCATTAACTATTCCCATATGCAAAAGGGAAAGCCATGCCTCCAGTCTGGAAAACCTTTACTGAAAACAGCAAAAAGGAACAGAAGCAGAGACTCTGCATGAGCACATATGCATGCACAGTCCATCTGCACTGAGGGGAACACAAGATGGCTGTGCCTGAAAACAGCCTCAACCAGAGCAATTTAAAATTGCAGCACACACAAAAGAAACAGCTATTTAGACTCCATGAAATATGTCCAGAGAGAAAGAGATCAGGGAGCAAAATGGGTTGGCTGATGTGGAATAAAAAGCTGCACGCTCTTAATTGAAGTGCAAATCCAACGCTTTATTTAGAAGGTCTTTGAAAGTAATTTGGTTTAAGATGACAGACAACAGTTTTCAAAGTGTTTCTATTCAGGTTTTATATTTAGTTTTGACATCTTTTGTCCATAAACTGAATGGTGCTGTACCATGTAGAGGCACCAGGAGAGCAAAGCAGGTAATAAGTACACAAGCACAAACCACCCTCCATTCCAGAATCAGTCACTAATCTCACAAACTGATCACTAAGCAAAGAGAAAACTGTCAATGAAAAGCATGAAGGAGGGAGATTTATGTTCAAGATATGAAAGCAAGAAAAACAGACTATGTAGTTACATATTTTTAAATTTAATTTACTTTTGCACATGGTTTATTTATATAAAATGTGTTTCTTTCCTCCTGGAAATATTTGTGAATTCAGAGAATAATATTAGCCTAAGAAAACATTTGAGAATAAACAAAGCCATAATGTTTAATTATTCAAATGTTTTATTACGGCACTTTTGGATAGCACAGCTTGTTCATATTAGATTCACAGAGGGATTTTTAGGGTTGTATTCAACCCAAAGCCAGCTAATTTAGGGTGCCTACCAGATGAGTCTGGGTTCTCTCTACATTAGTCAGTAGATGGACCAGTCACTAGAAACATTCCTCAGAGACCAGTCAGAGTCTTGGGCTTCTGCAGTTATTTCAATTCCCAATTTAGATGCTCTGAATGGTTCTACAAAATCAGCAAAATAAGACATCAACTGTGCATGCTGTGTAGCCATGGCACTTATCTGACATGCTGGAGACTTGTGTAAAATTTCCTCTTTTTTACTCCTCAGAAACTGGATGTAACCCAAGTCCTGAATGCTTTAAGGAACTTTAGGCACTGGACCACAGGTGCACTAGGGGTGGTGCATGCAGGGAATGCAGCATCCTCTCTGCTGTGAGAGCCATTCTCTTTTGCATGATCTCTTAAATACACCTGAGGGACACAGGAATTTTCCTGCCAAATACGAGTCCTGTGTTTAACTTCCACAGCAAATCAACCAGGGAGAGTAGTGAGAACAAAGCATCTTCAAACCACCAGAATAAATGAGTGAACTCAGGAATAAATGTACAAGTGTCCTGCTGGGCCTACTGCTTCCAGGAACACTGCCCAAAAATATGGAAAAGTTTGTTTCATACTTAGTAAAACAGTTGTGTTTTCTTCTCTGATCAAAAAACAAAAAAACAAACAAAGAAACAAATGAAAAAACTCCACCAAACCTGGACATCCACTGAGATTTGCATGTTTAGCTTATTTCCATGCTCACAAAGTCCTAGCTGAGTAACCTGACTGTCTGGGAAGGAGATCAGGGAAGAGGTATCATGGCACTCTAGAAGCAACCTTAACTCCAATTTCTATCATTTGTCTCCTGTGCAGTTAGCTGTAATGAGTGTTGCCATTTTATATAAGAATATATGGTTGCCAGAGTACAATTCAAGGAGATCACCAAAACCAGACTTGGCCATTCTCAGAATTATATTAATTGATAAAAAACCACCCCACTTCTGTCTCCTACTTTGCGTTGTAAAAAAGCTATGTTTCTGTCCTTAAAAAAAGGACTGAAAAACTGACCAATGGTTTATTCAGGATATCTGTTTAATATTTTTGAGAAATTTCTACTGACTTCTCTAATGAAAATATTTCCTAGTTCTTTTGATTCCACTTTACCCTGCACAGCCAACACAGCTCAGAGAGAGGGAGCTAGCTCCCTTTTATGTGCCTCACCACTAGACTTAAGTCCCAATTTCCCCACAGTGAGATCACTAAAAAGACACCAAAAATTACAGAAGTCTGCAGCTATCACCCACCAGTCCAGTTTAGCTTGGCAAAGCAAATTTTGCAGGCTGCTATGGAACTCTGCCAGGAGACCTCAGAAGTTCTCTTTCCTACCATGCTTTTTTCTTATCCTCTTTTGAGGGGGAAAAACAAAAAAACATTTTAAGGTTATCAGAGCTTTAAATGACCAGTTATATGCATAGGTCACATAGGATAAACACTAGTGCCTCAGGGTGTCGTTGCAATGCAGTAGAATAATTTTCATTATGGTTAAGTCGTTCTTGAACAATATTGTTAACCAGACAAGCCAAAGCTATGGCTTGCTTAAATCAGCTCCATAAATCTTCCAAGTCTCAGAAACACACATGTGGTCATGCAAAGACCTCAGTAACTGAAATATGGCTGCATCTTTCTAAGTCTCTTTTTGCAGTCCTACCTTAGATTACAGAAGACAATTTCTACAAGAGCCCTCTAATGTGCCCTAAAAGAAGCTAAAATTTAGAGCCCTCTGATGGGCAGTCTAGACCCTGCTCTCCATTCCTGCAGTGCAAATCTTAAGAAATGCTGGTGAGGTCAGAGACACAATTCCTGACTTCAGCTGGTAGAGAAAATTTGGATTTCTGCCTCCAAAAATTCTGTTTCCCTGTACACATGAGAAATAAGGGTATCAGAGCAATGAGAATGAGCTATGAAAGTACCACAAAGTGCACAGGAAACACTTCCTACAGAATTAGAATAGTACTTCAGACTTACCATCCTCCCTATCATCACTACAACTTTTGGAAACAACCTACATGAAAGCAGTACCTAGCTGGGAAAATCAGACCCATCCGAAAAACACAGTTTAAGCCTTGAACAGTGAGATCTAAATATTGATGGAAATAAGCAATCCTGAACACTACAACATCCCTTCCAACTACTGCAATCAAGCCATAGTACAATTGACATAATTTGTTTCTGTCTTGTTCAAGAGCAAGATCCCTGTGCTCACTGTTTGGAATCAGTTACCTGATACAGGACTAGAAAGCATCACCATCAAAAAGCAGGCCCCTCTTGTGCCTCAAATGTTTTGACTGCTTGACACTGTCAAATCACTTTCCTTTCCAGAGATGGAAAAACAATAAATTCATTTTTATTAAAACCCCAACTCTGGCATCTTTCCTCATGCTAACAGTCCCTGATGATAAAAGGTCTTTGAACTGGACCTACATCTCCATTTCAACATCTACCTGTATTTATCAGAGCACCTTTTTTACCCTGATTTTCCCCAGCTCCTACAGCCCCCCGCCACCATTCCCAAGAACACAGTGAGTGTCCTCTCTCTCAGCTTAGTCAGATAACTGCCTCATCTGCTCATGATTTGGTATATTAGAATATGCCACTGATTTCTTACAGTCTTAAAAGGCTGCCAGTCATCTTTGTGTCTGATCATTAAACAAAATACTAAAGTACCTCATTTAACACTTACCTGAGAGTCACAGACATCTGCGTGTAAATGGCATTTCTTTCTCCTCAAAACAGGAAGTAGATATTTATACAGTGAAGACTGAAGAATTGGAATTTACTTCTGCATTCTGCCTCCAAATTCAACGGAATGATTACATTCATGCCTTGGTCACCTATTTTAATATTGAATTTACAAAGTGCCACAAGAAGATGGGATTTTCTACAGGTAATCTGTATTTCTTTTAATTTAATTTCTGTTGCTATCTGTCTATCAGTGCTGCTGATTAGATGGTACAGGAAGGTTTAATGTACCACCACATTTGAATTTCAGTGATAAAAATGATTGTAATTTTGGGGGATGTGAGCAGGATGGGGAAAGCACAACTGCTTATAGGAATTCTGTGGAAACAGAGGCAGAATTTCACAATGGATATCAATCTTAGAGCTCAGCAGGAATTACGACCTGTGAATTTATGTCCCTCACCAGCTATATCTAAATCCTGTGTCAAGTTTCTCAGATTAGACAGAGAGTTATCAGCTCAGAGAGAAACAGCAGCTCTGCATCCTAGTTTTCCCCAAATCCAAAACACAACAAATCTTGCCCCAGAGCCTAAAAACAAAACTACCATTTTTTCCAAGCTATAAAAACACACATACTGATTATGTGAGTTGTCTCTAACAACCCAGATGTGAAACTCTAACTTGCCTTGGTGAGCAGATATTTAAAGGAATAACTCCATTCCCTTAAGGCATTGTTTACCAGACTGAATAAACCAGAGAGTCTTGCAATAAATGCAAAAACCTCATCCTGTAGACAGCCTTTGTGTGGACAGGAGGGTGAAGTGTTTCTCTGCCTCTGTTCAGTTTATCATGGTATGGTAGGTGCAGAATGACTCCATAAAAAGGTTGTTTGGCCATCTGCTGCTGAAGGTCACCACTGTCTAGAAGACTGGTAAAGATTCTCACCTGGTGTCTGTTGGCAAAGCTGCACTGAATTCAGTAACATTCACCAGTTTGTAGGACGTGTCAAAACGCTGCTTCATTGATATGTATTTTTATAAATTATGAATAAGTGTTTAATTTGGGGTGGACTTGGAGACCTGGGCCTGAATGAACACATACCCCCTCTTTTTGGGGCACAAGTTTCCAGTTATGTCAGGTTTTTCTAGGGAATGTGGCCCTGCACAGGGGCATGTGCACAACTACTTGGGTGTGTACAAGGCAGCAGTTATGATTTAGAATATAAATTCAATTTTGTTTTGGTCTAACATGTTTTCATGGTATGCAGCCATGTCCAAATAGTAAACAGTCTGCATCAGAAGTCCTACAAGAAGATATCTCATTTAACAATTGGGATTAACAGTCATTAAAACTGTCTGGACACATAGACAGAAATTATCTGGTAAAATGCTTTTCCTTTCGACGATACAAATTTTCCAGCACAGTTTCTGAAAAAAGTTGGTTTTTATCAGTCTTCTCATTCTAGAATTTTAGAAGAGATTTAAAAATTCATGTCCTTCCAGTTTTTTTAAAAAGCATCAGCATTTCCCCAGTCACAAACAATTTTCAAAGCCAAGTAATTTTTTTGAAACACTGATGTTGAAAAGAAATAAAACCACTATTTTATTAAAGTGTTAATAATGATACCATACAGTGACCTCATGTGACTGGAGGATACAAATAGAAGAAAAAGAAATTTATCAGAAGCTTTTTCTGCCAAGTTAGGAAGTGTTTGAGCTCCTACAGCTATTCTTAGGTTCCTAGATGCTCTTGACTGCAAGAATGGTAGGAACAAAAAAGTGACCAATACAAGTTCATTAGGCACTGCTCAAAGATTGAAATTTAAATCAGAAATAGAACCAAAGAAGTAAATTAAAAGCCTGAAATAGCAAAGGGTCATCAAAGTGATTCTGCTACGACTAGAAATTAATTTAGACCAGTTTCCGTCTCTGGCAAATTTCCCAAAATGCCTTTTAATAGTCCCAGAAGAGATCAAGGTGCAAATGCCCTTTCATCCACTGTATTCTGGAAATTTAAAAATTTGCTGGTTTGGGATCACTAGTCAAATGTTTCATCTGCAACACTGTGATTAATAATTTTTAATGGATCTTTCCTTCATGCTTTTGTATCATTGTTTTCTGAACTAATTTAGATTTCTGAAATTCAAAGCACTTGGTGGTAAAGATTTTCCCAATTTGAACATGTGTGGGTTGAAAGAAAAGCATAAAAATGTACCTATCTTGCCCTGTAACCCCTTTTGTGGAATCTTTCTTGCTGGGTGTGATTCACATCTGACATATTCCAGTAAAATTTGGAAGACAACTCACAGACAGCCAACACAATTGTGTTCTAAAGCATATTTGCTAATATGGTACATAAAGTATTCTATGAAAAGAAAGGATTTTTCCCAATTGTTTCCAAGTCATAATTTCGTTTGCAAGGCATTTAAGAAATTTCAGTAAGTGATACCCATATATATATATATATTTAGCACCTGATGCTCCTTATACTCACTGGAAGCAAACTGTCTTCTACTTGGAGGACTATTTAACTGTGAGACGAGGAGAAGAAATCTATGGGACTATATCCATGAAACCAAATGCAAAAAATGTGGTAAGTCAGCATCCCTGATCCTAATTCCACCTCTACTGACCACAAACTATGATCAGCAATAAAGAAAATGCATAGGAGTAAAACAATGAGCGTGCTAAAGGCATTCATGTTGATTAGCAAGAGCTGCAGTCACAGCCTCACCGAAGCTGCTGACAGCAATGGTGAAGCAGTGCTAATGTTACAGAAGTCAGCCTGCAAGCAGGCTAGCAGGGCAAGGGAGGAAGGATTCAAATACAGCACTGAGTCAGATGCCCTCTGCAATCAGCTTTACTCTCATTCTGTGACACAAGCAGGCAAGGGGTTGTTCACAGTGTCACTGAAATCAGTGGAAAGATCCCTTCTGCCAGCACAGGATGATCAAGAGTAAGTACTTCAGTTCCACATCTATGGGCATTGAGTGATTTGCCACTCAGTGCTCAAGGACAGCCCAACAGGAAATTAAGTAACACGTTTCAGAGGAATGCTTGTATCAACTCACTGATCGAATGTACCTGAGTACTCAGGTACTCAGGAACTGAGTGAAAAAAAAAAATTAAAAATTAAAAATTGTGCCTTTCCATAGAAAATACAGATGCTTTATTTAAGACTAAAGCTAAAGCATGATGGGTATCACACTACCATGACTGCTGAAAACTTCCTCAGTTTCTCTGCTATGGGCTGAATCCCCCTAGTGTTCTTTTAACTGGTAAGGAGACTGTGAGACATGGTCTGATAGACAACCCATGGCTGGGTAGAACAAGACATGAGAATTATGGCTTCTGGGAGAAACACTGGACCATTTTCTGCCAAAAATCTTCAGCAGTATCTCTTCATTTTCTATTACAGTAAACAGCAGTTAAAATAACCTGTTATCCATCTACACAGTTGTTGAAATTGTTGAAAAATTGCATTTGTTAGCTGCAACAAATCTTAACATTTCATTGTCTTCCCTTTTTTCATTGCTTTTCCATTTTTATACCAAACACAGATTGGATATGGTAGTGTTGATACAGAGGGAGAAATAAACACAAAATAAACTTGGCATTAAAACAAACACATTCACCCCTGAGGCTGCTTGCTGCAAGAGGAAAATAATCTGTTTTCCCACCCTTATGTTGTCCTAGAGGGACTGGAATATTTTCTTTTGGTTTAAATGTATCAATTTTCAGTGAGGGGAAAAATGAATCAAATATCTCAAATTTGTTCACACAGCAGTCAGCACCTGAATGCAGATTTGGGTGCTAAAATAAATGTGCTCTTGATAGTTGTCATAAGACAGAGAGACCACCTCTGTTCAAAAGGATTTGCTAGTGCTTGTTCTTCTGAAACATGAAGTTTTTCAAAAGCTTGCATAGACACCACTTCCTTCTGTAGGGCTGTGTAGTGCCTCTTCCCTAAAAACGTGTCATTATAAGATAAAAAATGACTGTAGAACAGGAAGTTGACTGGATCTGTGCTTGAACAGCCCCTAGTGGGAAAGCCCTTTAGCCTAAATTAAGAGCATCTCAATGGGGGATACCCCATAAAAATTTTGATAGGATATATATGATAACAGCATTTCAGAAGCTTCCCAAAACAGGAAGTAACCAGGAAATTAAATCCACCTCAGGAAGAGTACAGAAATACGACCTAAGCACAGATTGTATGATGAATGCTATTAAACATCTTACAGCCTGCTTTCTCAGTGTTAGCACCATTTAAACCCAGAATAAGTTAGAAACCACCACAGGAATCTCTTGAATCTGCTGGTCCTTTCAACCCAAGCAATGATACCTGAATTAGTACACTAAACTTATGGTCTTACTTACATGTTGCATTTAAATCTTTTTACAGCGTGACCTGGATTTCACAGTAGACTTGGATTTTAAAGGACAGCTATGTGAAATGTCAGTATCTAATGACTACAAAATGCGTTAGCAAGAAACCTCTCAGAGAGATGAAAAGAAGAATTTTATCGAGTCTTGAACTGCTGAGCTTCAAGCTAGGAACAACTGTTCACAAGATTATTATATTAAATACTAGAATGTTTACTCTGATGGAGGGTGGTAACTTGATCTTTCTTGCAGATAGTACAGGGGGCTGGGATCCCACTGTGAATGTACAGTATACAGAACTGTAGCTTTTGTTAAACATAGAAAAAAAAATAAGCAACAGTCTTGAGTGTTCTGGTTAACTTTAGGATGGCAGAAGATGCATATACAAATTGTATTACTTACTGTGAATTTCTGGTTCTTCCAAGCTTTGCATGTTAAAGATGATTAGGGCAGTTTTCTCACTATGAAAGACTACTACAGCACATTACTGTGATAGTATTACTGGACTTATATTCAATATAAATGAATATATATATTGTACATGAGGAAAAAAAAAGTCATTTCATAATAGGAATTTGTTTTGTGATTATTCAATTCTCATTACGCAGTTATGGAAAGACAATGATGTTACCTCTGGCGCTACTCTAGGCAGTGATATATTCCATTAACTGTCCAATGTTATAGCTTTGGTAAATATTCCATGCAAAGTGTAGATAAGAGCTGGGCATTTACAGGAAGTTCAACAACTATATTTTTGAATGTCCTCTGAAAATGTGGACCATTCGTTTTGAAATTCACCTTCACAACTGGATGTCTGTCAGAGCTTTAAAAAACATTAGCTTTTTATCCTTGAAAATATTCTGTGGTGAGTTTTTATAGCTGGATTTTGCATGAGACTTTCAGAAATCAGACACCTAGTATTTAAATGTGATGAATGCAAAGTCTCTGAAATGGTGGATAATTCATGCTTCTTGGCCATGCCATATTTCAGTTCTTTGCGAAATTCTTAATACAAAATAATTTTTAAAAAATAGGGATTAGTGTTACCTTTTGGTGATGTTTTAGATAAGTTTTAAATTGCAAATACTATTCTCAAGAGTGCAGTAATTTGCAGGAGCAAGTTAATGTCTTTAAAAAAAAATGTCAATGGCTTCTGATATTACTAAGATGTCTGTAGCTTTCCCGTCCCCTTGAGCCCCTTGTTTTTCGTACAAAATCTCCTGCTTATTGTTAAAATATTAAGTGCTTATAATTCCTCATATGTATGTACCGGGTCTTTTTACTATATGAATGTGGGCCATTTAATCACATGTAATTCGTCAACAACTGCATCACCAGTCCTATCGACACATTTTCCAGTCTGTCTGGCATTAGGCACTAAATCATGTTCTATCTTGTACTGGATAAGATTGACTAGTTTTTTTGCCTAAAAATATTTTTAATCACCTGCAAATAAAGCATACTTGAAGATGTATTTTGCCAGTATTTGTCAACTTCTCGCTTTTTAGAAACCTGTTTCTATTGATTTTTCCTCCACAGAAACTGTACAGTGCCTCCATTTTCTTATGGTCGAAAGAATATGATCTGGGGATTTTATCAAATGGTATTTATGTAGAGTGGAATTAAACTGTAATTCAGCAGTAAAAGATACTGTTTGCAATTTAGTTCATCACTGTTTTTTTAAGCTTCTTTCATATTTTTGGATTGAGGATGAACAACTTACCTTACCAAATCGAGTTTATCTGTCAAATATTGCTGTCATTTTCAGGGAGTGAGTTCAGCTACTCTTTCAGTAATGGACTGGGAAAAAAGCATCTAAAAGTCCTTTTCTAGTAACACTTCTGTGATTCTAGGAATTTAAGGTAAGGAAATCAACCATAGTTTTTCTCAGGCCCTCCATTTATATAAAAATCCACTCAAACAATGTTTTCATCTTCTTCTTTGCCACTAATCACTGAGATGACTATTACTGAAAGAGGAAAGACTCTTACTTTGTTTGCCTAAATCGTACTTTGAAAGCATTTCAAACCATCCACTTCTCTAGCCCACAACATGAATATTTGATAACTTTAATATTAAAAGAATAACAAAGAAGGGGGGAAAAAGTCTCATATCTTATTTAATTAAAAAAAAAAAAAAAAAAAGGACAAACAAAAAAAAAGAGAAAAAAAAGAGAAAAAATATTCCCAAGGGTCTTTTCTGAGAATGTGTCATTTTTGCCTGACAAAAAGCACTGGTCAAGAAGCAGCAAAAAAAAAACCCACTTGATCAGAACAGCTCATTAACCAATTTGAGAAGTATTTAAGAACTGCTGTACATCGATTGCCCTTTCTGCCTCATCTTTCAACTGCTGACAGTGAAGTGTTGGTCCCTCTTCAATAGTGGCCACCTTGCCTTGGTACTTGAAGTGCCCATTCACTTCAGTGTTGCAGGATTACGTCCTGACTGATACTGTTAATGGCACAGTTCTGAGGTGGTCACCACACCTCAGGCACGTTCCATCCTGGAAAATTAGCTTGTGCTGTTATTCACATTAAAAAAAAAAAAAAAAAAAGTATTTGTCCATCATATAAAGAACTGAGAGTGCCTACTGGAGTGCTGAGTGCCTTCAAATCAGTGATGAAAAAGCAAATGCAGGCTTGCAAGGCCATTAAAGCTGTTACCTACCAACAAGGTTCTGAAAGCCCTGGTGAGCTGGGCATACATAGCATTGGTAGGTCAGCAACAGTGAAATAGGTATGCAGAGACCTTGCAGGTCAGGTGCAACCAGCTAAAAGGCTTTCCTCAGCAATCCAAGTCCAGGCAACTACCACAGTCTGAGCCTCATTTTCTCAAGTCTTTAATAAGAAGGTTTCTCGTGGACTCCAGGACTGAACCCAAGCCACTGATTTTCAAAGCTTTGCATTAAAATACAGTGACAAAATGACGGCTGAGAGCTGAAACAGACACGTATTTAAAAGATTTAATTCCCTTCCCACAGACAGGAAAAGAAGATCATGAGCTGAGGACAGAGCATGAGAAAGAAACAGAAAACCAGTATTTACACAAAAGACTGTCCCTGATGAGTAACACAGCACTGGAGAAAAGAGAAAGCAGGTCACTTCTGCCTTGACTCTGATCTTAAGGCAGAAGTATTAAAGCGCTTCTCAGGGATTGTTCTGTCACTTGAAACAAAAAGAAGCATTCAAAAAAAGCTCCATGCTGAGCATGCCTCTAAAAGACACAGCGGGCAATTCACACTTGCAGGATTAAGGAAGTAGTCCCTAGTGTTAGGGGGGGTCACTGTATTCCCAAGGTTCTCTAAAGAACAGCGTAGTATGTCTCTACTCTCGTAACAGCTTCTTATTCCCAGCACCAATTAACCCTTGCCAGATGTCAATACTTTCAGGTTTGGGTTTTGCAGGGGTTGTTCTGGGAACCCTTCTATGTGTAAAATTAGGGGTTTACAGCCTTTCAATATTGTCTTAGACCTCTAATAAGAGTTGAAACTGTCCAAAATGGGAACAAGAATATTACCCAAGGTGGTAATATTTACCCAGTAATACCCAAGACATGTTTTTACCACAGTGCTAATTTGAAGAACCTTCTCAGAGATCATTTCTAACAGGATTTGTTTTAAAATTAATATTAATTCAGAAATTAATTTAACACATACAGATTTGATTATAGATAACTTCATTCACCTAGAAGGTAAGTTTATGAAGGATACATGGTGTTCTATGTATATAATTAATAAGTCCTTGCTTTAGGAAGATTAGAAAGTACAGGGCTGACCTGCTGGAAAGCAGGTCTTCAGAGAAGGACTTGGGGATGCTGGTGGACAACAAGCTGTCCATGAGTCAGAGGTGTGTCCTTGAGGCCAAGAAGGTCAATGGTATCCTGGGGTGCCTTAGGAAGAACACTCTCAGCAGGTTGAAGGAGGTGATCTTGCCCCTCCAACTCAGTCCTGGTGAGGTGAATCTGGAGTGCTGCGTCTAATTCTGGGCTTCACAGTCCAAGAGAGACATGGAGCTCCTGGAGCAGGCCCAGCAGAGGGGAATGAGGATGACTGGGGGACAGGAGCATCTCTCTTAGGAGGAACGGCTGAGGGAGCTGTGCCAGTTCAGCCTCAAGAAGAGAAGACTGAGAGGGGACCTTTTCAATGTCTGTAAGCACCTTAAGGGGGAGTGCCAAGAGAATGAGTCCATATTCTTCTCAGTGGTGCCAACCAATAGCACAAGAAGCAAAGGGCAGAAACTGATGCACAGGAAGTTCCACATGAACCTGTCATTTGGTTTGCTCAGCCTAGAGGAGACTGAAGGGGGACCTCTTTGTGGTCTTTAACATCCTCACAGGGAGAAGCAACGGGGAAATTATTGACCTTTGCATCCTTGTAGCCAGCAGCAGGACTCAAGGAAACAGCATGAAGCTGAGTCAGGGGAGGTTTAGGTTAGACATCAGGAAAAGGTTTTTCACTCAGAAGGTGGCTGAGCACTGGAATAGGCTCTCCAGGGAAGTGGTCACAGCACCAAGCCTGACAGAGTTCAAGAAGTGTTTGGACAACACTCTCAGGCAAATGGTATGACTCTTGGGGCTGTGCTGTGCAGGGCCAATAGTTGGACTCAATGGTCCTTATGGGTCCCTTCCACTTCAGGATATTCTATGATTTCATGAGGAAGAACTTTACTGTGTGGGGGACCAAGCACTGGAACAGACTGGCCAAAGAGGTTCTGGAAAATCCTTCCCTGGAAATATTTAAAAACCACTTGGAAACTAATCCTGAGTAATGGATTCTAAGGGACCCTGCTTGAGCAGGGGGTTAGACTACATGACCTCCAGTGGTCCTCTCCAAAACTAACCATTCAGAGATTCTTCGATTTCCAAGAACAAAGCCTGCCCCTAGCCTCTCTGGGCAGCTGTTCCAGTGTTGTGATAATCTCACAGGGACACTTAATGTTCAACTGGAATTTCTCTTGTTTTAACCTAGGACTGTTGGTTCTTGTTATTTTACTATTTTCCCCCGAGAAAAGGCTGCCTCTCTTTTCACTGTAACTCTCCATTAGGTACAGGAAGATACAATTAGTTCTCACCTTAGTCCCTTCATGGTAACTCCCCTCTTCCCTA